AAAAAAAAAAAACAAAAACAATAATAAAAACGTCGAACGGTGTGTTTGTGTTTGTTTTTAAACAAAAAAAAATTTCGTTTGGTTTCTGTCAACATTCCAGAAACGGTTTCCCCCCCCCCTTCCACGTACACGTACACGTACACACGCACTTACACGCACACACGCACAAAACTGCAGAAGATAAATGTCAAATATAATTAACGTAAAAATTAATGATGTTACGAATTCGAAAAAAAAACGGTTTCTCTCTACCTCTCTCTCTCTTTCTCTCTCTTCTCTGTCTTTTTTTCTCTACCTCTTTCTCTCTCTCTCTCTCTTTTTCGAAATTTGAAATTTATTTATATAACCGAACGAAACGAAAAATTTTATTTTTAATTTTATTTAAGAAAGAAAGAAAAAAAAGGAGCCAAATGACATGGGTTCCAACCAGACGAAATTTTTTAAAATCTCGTAATTAACGAAAAAATTTTAACGGTCGTTTTTCTTTTTCTTTTATTTAAAGTTTAACCAATAAATAAATAAATTAGTATTTAAAAAAAAAAAAAAAAAAATCCGTTAAACGAACTGGTAAAGAGCCAAAATCAAAGTGAAATGGACCCCCACGCGCACGTGATAAAAAAAAAAAAAAAAAAGATTTTCGATATGACATTACGTGTCCATAAATGGTTTGTATACGTTCGGGAAAGGGTTGACAGGGGGATTTGATTCGAACGTCCCGGAAATAAATACACAATCCATTGAATTATTTCCTTTACATTTTAACAATTAATTTTTTTTTTTGTAAATGAATGATAATCGTCAGATGTTTTCTTTTATTATTATTATTATTATTATTATTATTTATTTCATCGTTTCGTAAATTTATTTATTGAATTGAAAAAATTGACGTTCGTTTGAAATGAACTTTATTTTTTTTTTTGACAATTTTTTTTTTTTGTATAATTTATGGTGATTGAAAATTCTAAAAATAAATTTTGTTCGAATCAAATTTTTTTTATTTTTTTTTGTAGTAAAACGTTCGTTTGGATTCAATCCAAAGTTTGAAGAATGAAAAAAAAAACGAAAAAAAAAAAAACGAAAAAGAAAAGTTTTAAGGCACTCGAGCTTTTAAAAAAAATTAAAAAAAAAGTTTTGGGATTCCCCTTTTCCCCCTTTCTCCCTTACCCTTACACCTCCACCCACAACCCCCAACCTACCCTTCGTAGTTTATCTCTAACCACGTTAATTATTTACGTAACGAACGTAAATTCCAAAAAATGATAATAATAATAAAGAAACGTTGTTATTTAAAAAAAGGAAAAAAAAAGAAAAAACAAGAACGCCCATTTTGTAAAGGGAAAAAATTTATTATTATTATTATTATTATTATTATTATTATTATTATTATTATTATTATTATTATTATTATTATTATCATTATCATTATCATTATCATCATACAGGAGATTTATTTTTGTCGTTAGTAGAAAAGGTAATTAAGGTGTTGTGTTCGTTTCAGGAAGTTGTAGTTAAAATTAAATCTGTCGTTTTGAATAATACAAAGATCAACATTGTGTGATACTGACTCTCGTGCCTGTTCTGCATGGTTTCATCTTTACGTGAACGTACGACTAGAGAAGCTGTTGAACTTTTTCTCTATCTCTCTCTCTCTCCCCCTTCTCTCCTTCTCTCTTTCTCTCTCTATTTTAAATAACTCGCGTGTGTGTTTGTGTGTATATACTCGATTATTCGCATTCGGCATAAAGCGTAAAAAGTGAAAAAAAATAATAATAATAACAGAAGAATAAGAAAAAAAATATGGCTGTTTAAATAATAATAATAATAATAATAATAATAATAATAATAATAATTGTTTAAAATGATTAATTTTATTATTATTATTATGGGTTGAATAATTTTTTTTTTCCATTGAAATTTTTTTTTTTTTTTTTTTTATGTTTCATTCATCGTGAAAGATTCGATCACGCTGCGTTGTTTTTTTTATTTTTAAACGTCTAAACAGCAGATGATGGTGATGATGATGATGATGATTCTGTTGGTGTACAAAATGTATTCCATAACGTTTGTTTCGTGTGTGTGTGTGTGTGAGAGAGAGAGGGATAGGGAAACGTCAGAAAATAATCTTAAAAATTAAACCAGATGAAATTTCATATATATATATATATATGTGTTTGTTTGTTTATATTCGAATCGGAAGTCACGTGTTCTCTTTCCTTTTTTAACTCGGGGAATTTTTATTTAAGGCAAAAAAAAAAAAAAAAAATGGTGGTAATAGTGGTAGGTTTGAATCTTTTGTATTTTATCGTAAGAGAATAAATCGTTTTATTACCCCCTCACCTTGTTTTAACTTAACATAACAAAAAAAAGGGAGACCAAACAAAAAAAAAAAAACAATTTTTTATACATTAGGTAGAAATTCTTTCGACAACAACAACAACCAGACAAAAACAAATTTTATTAACTTCCAAGTCAAAATGAGATGAGAGAAGGGAAGGGGAATCCCAAAATAATTTTTAAAAAAATTATGTTTAATTGTAAACATTGTTTACCTATGACTAATTTTTTCTTTTTTTCGATTAGGGGGGAGGGAAGGGAAAAGGATGAGAAAGACAAGCATCCCCTCCCCCTTTTTTTGTTGTTTCTCATATTTAACAATAATAATAATAATAATAATAATGAGGGGATTAACCGTGTATAATCAGAAAAATTTATTATCTGTAATTTTTTTTTTTTTTTTAATCGTTATTTATTTATTTTATGATTTTAAGGTTTTTAAATCCCTTTTAAACGAATTTGGCGCCAAGAATTTTAAAACTGTGTAAATTCATAAAATTTTTATTTTATTTTATTTTATACACAGACGCACACGCGCACGCACTCACACACACACGCACGCACGCATTTAAATTATTTTATCATCGTCCTTGTATTCTTTTGATAATAAACAAACAAATACACGTGCGTGAGTGTGCGTGCGTGCGTGCGTGCGTGTATAAACTTTTTTTTTTTCGGTTTGAAATTACGTGTTCGAATCGTAAATTTTGTTTTTGCTTTTTCCGGAAATGATATTTTAAATCATAAAGGCGTAAAAAGGAATGAAAGAAAGAAAGAAAGAAAAGAATTTATTAACCGTGATAAAATAATATTAAAAATTGCATTTCGTTGCAACTTGAATTTTTTACGTAACGGAAACGGAAGTATATACATCATCCGGTTTTTAATAAAAGAAAATTTTAAATTCTTATTAATTGATGTATGTGCGTGCGTGCGTGTCTGCCTCATTTAAATCTTTTGCCGTGTGTAAAAAAAAAAAAAATAAAATCAGGTTTTGTGAGTTTTTTTTTTTCGAAAATAAATGGCTGACATTACCAAGGACGTCAGATATACATTTAAATTAATTTGAGATGTTTCATCTCAAAAATTATTAT